ATATGTCAGTGTCTCTCTTCCAAAAATCTGGATTAAGAAATGGCACTCTCCTGCACTTAAGGTCTGAGTAAATAGTATGAGAGCACACAAGGAAAGAATATGGAATACAGTGGAGAAGGTGCTTTCCTTTAGAAGAGAGTGGAAATAGATAGGGGTCACAGTCACCTTTTCAATGAAACAGGACTCTTCTAGGAAGCGTGCGATATGGTTTCATCTCCCTTTTCAGCTCCCTCCTTCCCTCTGAACTGAAATGGGTTCAGTCTCGCACGTCCCTCTTCCCTAAACGAAGGGAAGCACCTAAATGACAGGCAGGATTGGGATTAGGACACTCTTTGCTCTGCTCATTGAAATGGTGAGACAATGGACAGATGAAGACGCATGGTCCAACAAGACAGAGGTGGCTGGAGAGCTAAATTAGAGGTGGGAAAACTGTAAGTATGGCCCAGGCCTTGTGGTGCTCACTTAAAGGCAGAATCCTGAATTTTTCATCATAGAGTTTTGTCCAAGGTTTATTCAAAATCTGCCTGGTAAAACTATCTACTGATAGCTCAGTGTGGCTTCAAGCCCACTCAGATTGAAAAAAAGCTTGAATCCTGCTCTCTTTTCCTGGCAGTGCATTTTCTAAAAATAAAAAATTGCACAACACAACCTCTCCTAGGTGTATCTGGGAAGTATGAGCTCCTCTTGAACCCTTTTGAGATGTCTTCAAATCCCATTGTGAGAATATGATGGTGCCTGCAAGTAGCTGAAGAGGTTTTCTGCAGCCCTGAGTGAGGCAATTAAATCCAAGAGGATTTCAGACATGTTGTTCTGTTTTTTTTTTTTTTTCATAGTCCAGCTTTGGGGAGCCCCCCTTTCTGGGCAAGGTAATTGTTGTGAATTCCCTTCTGACACATGCCACCGGCATTACAGCGGGAGCCTAATGGCAATTCTGGGATGTGTGGTGATAGAGAGGAGCCACATACAATGCCAGTTCCTCTTACAACTTTTAGAGGATACCAGCACCTTTCACAGGGAGCTAAACTCTGCCTGGACATGTCCACATGCATTTAAGACTTGGGATGACTTAAGCAAAGAAACATTTAGGGCACATCTCTGGCCTGCGATGCAGCACTCCACAGAAATTCCTGAACTAGTGGTGATGAAAATAGAGCTGAAAGCGTGATGGCATTGCTACACTGACACAGACAGGAGTCAGGGCTGGTTGACACCAACACAGTGCTGCTGTACGATGTAGCAAATGGACAGAACTTGCGCAGTGCTGTGCTCGTAAACGTATGGGCCTGTTTGCAGCTAGGTTAGACATCGTGATGCGGCACTGCATTAAGCAGTTCTGTAAAGGCAATTGCAAGGGATCATATTAATCAGTTGGGTCCAATCACTCTGGTAGTGTCCTTCAGATTTTCTGGAGGTCTTCAGGTGCTTAAAGATGTCGTTATGAGACCCCCAGAAGTCCATCAGTGCATGACACCTGGCTTTGATGGATCAGTCAGATGACACTGAAACTCTGGGAGGTGACGCTCTTCTAGACTTCTGACGTCATCTAGCTGCTTTGCTTGTACTTCTGTCTGTAAAATGTTGGTAGAACACGAACACAGAATTGTGCAAGTTAATGGTTTGAGATACTCAGAAAAGAAAGCAGATTATTCTATAATCTTCCCTTTATAAAGCTACTATTACCATAATGAATTTTCTTCTCTTGAAGTTTGTTACAGGATTATTAAACAGTGCCTGCTCTTAAAGCAGACCATGAAAGAGAAATGACTGTATGCACTCACATGATACATTCCCCTGAGCCTCGGATAACCCGGGTGGCTGCTAAACCCACACCTCCCGCTACGGACACGGGCCGTGGGAGCCGAGCCGCGTCCCGCTACCCGGCCGTGACTGGAAGCACCAGCAGCAGCGCCCGGCGCTGCCCTCGTTTTTACCTGAAGGCTGAAGTGCACGTTGCAGCGTTACCACAACCCGCCCGCCCGCCAGAGCCGCCGTTGGCCCCGCCTGGGCTCTATTTCGCGGCGTGGGGGTGCGCGGGACGAACCCCGCGGGACCGATTCTCCCGGGGGCAGCGGGGAAGAAGCCAACGGCCCCGCGGCGGGGGCGGGGGGAGGCGGGGCCTCGTTTGCATCTGCCCTGGGGTTGGCTGGGGCGCCGCGGGCCCCGCGGGGCGGGGCGAGGCAAGCGGGAGCGCGGGATTGGCTGCTGCGCCCTTGTAAAGCCGCCCCGGGGGGGGGCCCAGCCGGTGGCCCCGCAGTCGCTCGGCAGCGGCTCCGCCGGCGGGAGCAGCGGCCTGGCCGGCGGCATCGCCAGCGCCGGCCGCGCCCGCGCTCCGACGATGCTGGACCGCGAGCGGGGCTGGAGCGTCTCGTTCGCCGGCTGCGGCTTCCTGGGCGTCTACCACATCGGCGCCGCCACCTGCCTGCAGGAACGCGCCCCGCACGTCATCCGCGACGCCCGGCACATCTACGGCGCCTCCGCCGGGGCGCTCGCCGGCGCCGTGCTCGTCGGAGGCGGCTCGTTGGGTCAGCGGCTCCGCCCGGGCTGGGAGGGCGGCGGGCCGCGGGGAGCCCCCGGGCCGGCGGGAAGGGGCAGGTGTGGCGGGCCGGGCCGGCTGCCGCTGCGGGCGGCCGTCGCAGGGTTACGGCCCCGGCCCCGGCCCCGGGGAGCGCCGTTGGCGGGGACGGCCGCGGGGTTGGCGGGGCTGGGCTGGGCTGGGCTGAGCTGCCCTGCCCTTCCTTGCGGGGCTGGCTCATTTTCTCTCTTTCTCGTTTTCTACCCTCAAAGGGGATCCCGACCCCTAATTAAATCCGAGCGGGTTATGTGGCCCTGTAGATGCCAGGCTTGTTTGTTGGGTTTTTTTGGTTGTTGTTTGTTTGTTTTCTTCTTTTCTTTCTTCTTTTTTCTTTTTTTTTTTTTTTTTTTTTTTTTCCCGTCTCATCCTGCGCACATCTTATCTCCGAGGAAAACAGGGGAAAATGGTGTGTTTCCTAGAGGGTGAGGGAAGACACAGGTGGTAAAGTTAGTCTGTGTTCACCGGGGATGGATATTTAGCAACCTCCCGGGCTCAAGAAATGGTCTTGCTGGTGCCTCATCCGATTTCAACACTCGTGTAGTCAAATAGTCGGAGTTTACGACCGCGGGTCCGGGGACAGATACGTGTGTGCGCGGAAGGAGCCCCTGTGCCTCCTGGCCTCGGCGTTGCCGATCCCGGGCTGGTGGCAGCTGCTCTCGCCTTCGTGCGAGGTGGGGGTATTAAAAACCGCAGCGAGAGCGGGAGGTAGGTGAAGCCTAACACCCTTCAAAGCAAGCAGACTAACCCTGTCCTCAGTTTGAAACAAAATATTTACGCTTTCTTGGGAAATAAAGCATCTCTTTTGTAGCTACGTGTGCACATGAATTTTCAGTTAGCATTAACTTGCTTTCTCTAAAGCTTCTCCTTTCTTGGGAGACAGCAGAGAGTTAAGGTCAGGGCTTAGGTTAGCTTTAACATGCTTTTCCTCTTTAATCTGTGCACAGTGTATATTGCATAGGTCACTTAGGTATATGATTAGAAACAGTGGATTGATTAAAATCACTGATTTTAATTGTGATTTAAGTAATTAGAGTGAATCTTGTTTTGTATATATACTGGATAAATGATGTTAGTTTGCCACTAAACATAGTCTCTCTTGTGAAATAAGTTTCAAGCTGTAGGAAAAGTTGTATGTTAAGGGCTCATGAGAACCCAAATACACATTTATCTAGTGACTTAGACATGCTGGACATTAAAGCAAGCTCAATACAAGTAAAATACCAAGGTGTTTGGGACAGCAGCTGGAATGCAGTTAAACTTTATGAAATATTTGGAAATCTGAAAATGGTTTTCCCTTTAAACCTAACAAATTACTAAATAAAAGCTTGTCTAGTTCATGACTCAACACTGACCGCTTTTGTTAACGGTACCCTTAACAGGTTTAGAACTAGAAGGTTTTGTAAATTCACAGTTCATTCTACTTATAGGTGGAGGAGGAAAACAATGAGTACTTGTTTGGGTTTTGCTTTTAAATTTCTGAGGGAGCGATTAGCTGACTAAAACGAATAGAAGTTCTCTGTACAAGCTAGAGAGTAATGCTGTGAAATGCTTGTCCCTGCAGCTTAGCCACTGATCTCTCTCACATACGCTTAATTTCTTCAAAACTTCAGCAAGAAACTTGTGCTCCTTAAACCCTTTAATTCAATTTTGCTGTAACGTCCTAACATAACACACTTGAGTTACTACAAACCTAATGTAAGCTTTTAAAATAAATCATATTTAACCACAATAACTATTTTTAGAATGTATCCAATTTGAAGTCTTAAGTCATTGTAAATGATTTAAGGAAGTTGCTTTAAATATTTGAAGAGCTCTTAAGCACAAAAACTGTATATTGTTTACCTGAAGGTATGTGTTATTAACAGCTTTTAAAATTTTTAGCATTTTAATAATTGAAACTTGCAGACTTAAAACTATTCCCTTGTTTTTCCCTTCTCATATGCCACCTGAGATTTTTGCTTTTCTCTAACAGACTAGCTAGTGATCACTGACCAAGGTATTGTGTTTCATGGGCAAGTGTATTTCTTCTGGAAACTTATTTAAAAAAAAAAAAAGCTGCTTGGTAGTGTTGGAAGACAGTTCAAAACCAGCCACATTCTAAAATCTTAATCACTGTACATTCATCAAACTAAGAAGGTATTCCTATGTTAATTCTATATCTTTTTAACTCTTAATTTTTTGCGAGTTTGTGTGAAAGTGGAAGATTGTAAATAAGCTCTAAAGAAACACTACATGGTATAATAATCTATTTTATTAGTTTGTGCTTCCCTTATGTTGATATACTTTAATATGCAGTATTTGTTATTTCTACAGATGTGGTTATAAGTCCCACGTGTTTTCACAGTTGCATTTCGCTGTGGGAAGACAGAGTGAGACTCTTCTGAGAGATGAGTAGTGGAAGGGTAAGAGGCAGCAGGCACAAACTGGAACATGACAAATTCTGATCTCATGTAAGGAAAAGGAAATTACTGTGAGGGTTGTAAAATACTGAATCAGGTGCCCAGAGAGGTTGTGGAACCTCCAACCTTGGAGGCGTTCAAAACTTGGCTGGACCCAGCCCTCAATTAGTACATTAGTTGTGCGTGACTATACACAAGTAAGTTTTTGACTAAAATTGATGTGTGTATCTCATCTGTTACAGGTTTGTAGCTGGATGTTTTAAACAAAAGGTTTTCTTTGTGCTTCATATTACCTGTTGGATAGGCAAACAGAGTCTGTAGAATTTCAAGTCTGAATAAATGTAAGCATTAGCCACTGAATGGAAAAAAAAGTGTACCTTTCCAGACTGAGGAAGAAGTTTCCTTCACTGAATCTGGGGGAAGGTAGAGGGAAAAGCTTAAAGGTGACTGTTCTTCTGAGGATGATGTGCATTCCAGGCTATTCCAAACAAACTGAACTTGCACTCCTTGTTAGATCTTCTCCATGGATGTCTTGAAGATCTGGTATTTTGGTGGTGATGTAGTCATCCATTTGAGTGGGGCACTGAAGAGAACAGGTTTGGTGACGGCTGTAAATACAATGTCAGGTTTTACTCTGTGGGAAACAATAGTTATCTGTTAAAAAGAGGAATATAGAAGTATAACTTGCAATGTAGACATATAACTAGAAACAGTTCACATTTAATAGGAACATTAATTTCTTTAGCTCTCTTGCGTTTCAAAAAATAAAACAGATGTACCAAGGTCTGCTTAAAATCCCAGTCTGACTTGAGCTCCAGCCCTCTGTCCCTTTCTGAGAAGATCCCATTTTGGAATACACCAGCCTAAGAGGTAACTGTGTTTTAGTCCTGTTGAGGAAGGAAGGGAAAAGGGAAAGAAGTTGGAATACTTTGAAGTCTGTTGAATTAATAATGAATAGCTTTTTACATTTTCAGTGTTTTAATATCACATACTCTTGGGTAGACACATATGCTTTTTTTTTTTTTTTTTTGTTAGGAGCCCTTCTCATATTTAAGTTAGGTTACAATAAATGAAATATGTAACCTTGATTTTTCTTTTTTTTCTCACTGTTGACTGTCAGATGTAGATATTCTTGTATGTGGAAGACATGAGTAAACATCTTTGAAATCAAATTTCATTTTGATGGGTAGTTACTTTCTGAAAGGAAGTTGAAATGAGAGAAGTTCAAATCTAAACTGTCAGAGGTCATCAGTTTTGTAGCCCTTTAATGGGATGTGTAAAGTGAGCCTGATGTTTTTTATGGTGAGAGGTAAATAATCGCAATACAAGGTTGTTGGAGGGCACTGGTTTACTTTTTTCCCCTGCAGAAATGGGCCTGCACTGCAAATGAGTGAAGATGTTACCATGCTTCAAACTTAAGTAATAGCTTGAGCTTCAATTTCACAGGATGCTAGCTACAGAAACAGGGTCAAGACCTGGCAGAGAAGTGAGACTGCGTGTATTTGTTTACTCATGTGCCCAAGCACCCAGTGCTCTTGGTCTGTTTTTTTAGAACACATAGTTTACTTGCTCTGTGCATAAATTTTCAAAAATGTACTTACTTTGCAAAAGGAAATAAATGAATGCACTAAGACTGCTGTTCCCAGACAGATTTCTGGTAGTTCAGTATCTCAGACTCCTGCAACATGCCTGATTTCTCTCTCTTGAGAAAGTTTAGAAGATTGAACATTGCTAAATTAGTTTATTAAAAAAAAGGATAGATGGTAATTTATATCTGAGTGCATGAAAAATAGAACTGCTAATACTGCCTACATGACTGCTTTTGGAAATAACTTCTTCACTTGCCAGAATGTGACTTGTGCCATTTTTTAGATGTGATTTACTAACATAAGCATATATTTGACCATGAACAGTGAGCTGTGTTTAAATTGTTTGCTGTCTTCTGGGGTGGGAGGTGGGGTCAGGCTACTGGTACCTGTGACTTCATGGCCCAAGACTTCACTCTGCAAGGGTGGAATGAAGAAAGTCGTAGTGGTAAAAATGAAGTGTGTCTGATAACTCAGATTTTTGAGAGATACTCTTTTGAACATAGACTCTTGGTTTACTGTGTGAAATGTTCTTCATGGCTATTTGAGGGGGAAAAATAACATTGCAGAAAGATAATTTGTTTGGAAATTAATCTGAACTCGAGGGCTTAAGAAGAGTTGTTTCCAGTGCAGTGCTCACATTTAACTTAAAGTTAAATGCTATCTGTTCTAGAAAGAGTAAGTTAAAATATGCAAGTTCTGGAAGTATTTTTAGATGACCTTGTAGTATATCACTTGGGTTAATAACCTGTTACTTTGACCTTCCTCCCCACCCCCTTTCCTCTACCAAGTTGACGAGTTTATCAGGCAGTTTCCTCAAAGTATGCCTTGGAGAAGCATGACATTAAAAATTTATACAAAACATTGCAGTTGGATGAGCTGCTGCTCTTACTATGTCTAGGTGTGTGGCTGTTAAAATGATTTCAGTGTTCTTCTGAAACAATTGTGTCTTCTGTAGTGGTTTGAGCTATTTCCCAAATGCTGATATAACTGGAGAAAAAAATTGACATGTCTGTTACATGTTGATAAAAAAGCACCTATTTAGGTGGAGACATGTGAGAGGTATTACAGATCTCCTCTGCATTCCTTAACCACTTACCTCTTGATGTTCCTTACTGTAAGTTCACATTTAATGTTCCCTTTACTGTGTTTATAAATGAAGATAATTGGTGCCCTGAAACTTTAAGCTTGCTTAAAGTTCAACAAGTGTTACTAGCTGTGGTGAACCCAGGTGCTCTGCTTCTTCAGCAGACACATTGTGGAGTGTAAATCCGTGCATCATACACTGTGTGTTTTTGTGAATGTTGCATATGGAACATGTCCCTGTATACATGCTTATGGAAGGTCACCCATCTTCGGGTTTTTTTCTTAAATAATGTGTTTCAGGAATCAATAACTCCTAACGGAAGCATCTTATATGGGTATTTTAATAGACACTTAAAGTCTACGTATAAATAACATGTAAGTAACTTAGTGTCTAGGTCTTTACCAGGAGTTCTATTTGACAGTCTAAAGTGACTTTTTTTTTTCCTCAGAAAACCCCTAAACTCTGTTAAACACTAGCGGACAGTTATTTTATCTGTTAAAAAGCTCTTGAATTTTCATGCTAGCAATCAGAGAGAGAAGTTGGAGCCATAGACATGCTTTATTACTGCAAGTGTGTTTTTTGGGTTTTTTTGACATATCTTCTGTTTTCAAATGTTATTTTCAGCTCAAGCTTGTGCAGATGTTCTGGCATTAGCCAAAGAAGCTAGAAAGCGAAATCTTGGTCCTCTTCATCCTTCCTTTAATGTGGTAAAGATTATAAGAGATGGACTGATGAGAAATCTTCCAGAAAATACTCACCAGTTGTCATCGGGCAGACTGTGTATTTCACTAACCAGAGTATCAGATGGTAAAAATGCATTGATATCTAATTTTAACTCTAAAGAAGAAGTTGTCCAGGTATGTTTGGTTTTGGCAACTTCAAAAAGTTTCTCTAATCTTAACTCCATTTAACATCATCTATTAGATATCCATTTTAAACATTTTAGGATATTGTGACTTTGGCAATATTTTAAAGAGGAATTCCAGTTTCATTACACTACATTGAAGTACTAGTTTTCCCAGTCAGTGTACGTGTGAACTGTTTTAGTGAGTAGATGCAAAGATGGATTATAAAAAGGATAAATGCCTTTAAAGTGAAGTGTATCTAATGAAACTATATCCTTCATGAATATGAATTTTCTTAAGGTCATTCTTAATAAAGCAGGGATCAAGAAACAGTCAAAACCAGCTTTTTAAAATTCTGAGTATCAGTTATAAAGCTAGTTTAATATCAGCCCAGAATGTTGATATTTGTGTCTCAGTTTGGTTAATCAGAAAATGTATAGCTTGAGTGAATGATTATAAACTTTTCCTTGCTAATTAGCATTTTTACAAATAGTCTTTTAGTGAGTCTTACAATTTTTTTTTTAGATGGAGTGTGGTTACTTTCTAAAAAAGAAATGCAGATTACCCTCATCCTGTTAAAATAATGCTTGATAATACCCTCTTTATTTTCCCTTTTTATTCAAATGTACTTGCTGGGGATGTTTTGGTTGGTTGCTTGGTTGTTTTTGCTACCATTTAAAAAGATAAAGGTAAATGATAATTTCAATAATAGAACAGTTACCATTTAATTTATATGGTCTCATTTTCCTGCAGGCTTTAATCTGTAGTTCATTTGTTCCTATTTATTGTGGCCTAATTCCACCATCATTTAGAGGTGTGGTAAGTCTCTATTGTTAAGATCTAACAATAGTTCTAGATGTTTTGGAAATATTAAAAACCAGTGTACGTGCTTTTTTAGGTTATCCTATTGTAAAATAAATACTCTCGTCATAGCTTCTAGTACTGTAGTTGTATGTTACAACTTTTAAAAAAAGCAAGGAAATGCTAAATGTGTGGAAGATAGGTTATGTATATTTCTTTACCACCCTGCAAAACGCACACACACTTTTTCTCTCTCAAATTTCTTGCTTGCTGATGCAAGAAATTAAAAGAGGCTATTATAAGCGAGCAAGTATTAAGCTTAAGGATAAATATTTATTGAAGAAGATGATGCTTATTCACCTGCACAAATGTCTAGGAAGGATCACTTACACTTGTTTGTTCAAAAAAATAATCTTGTAAGATAGTTTATTGTAAGTCTTTGTGTTCTTGCTGTAGGTAGGTCTCCCTTAAAACAATTCAAGTTCATGTTCAGTTACATATAAATAAAGCTTTTTAATGTTTTCTGTTATTACACATTCAGTGTAAGGAATGTTGCTTTTGAAAGGTAAAGTGTCAGTGTATTAGTCTGTTCCATTGCTTCACAGAAACTGTTGATTACAAAACCTCTTAGTACTTCATGGCTGTGAGGGCTTTTCTAAAATCCCCCATTAAAGGGGCAACAACTGCAGAAAAGTTAGTATAGTTTGTTGTAGGTGTTTCGATTAATCTGGAGGGAGACATGCACTTCAAATCAAGGCAGTGACACTCAGTGGCTTTTTGGTAGTGTTGTATTAACTTGCATTTGCTTTCCTTCCAACTCTGGGGCTCCTTACACAAGGAAGGGGAAAGAATATTGAAAAAAAAAAATTCAAAACATGTTTAACCGTGGTTGATTACAGACTGTTCTCAAGGCAGTCTGGAAGTGCTAAAAGGTCAAGGATAGACATGACATGTATTTTCTTCTTCATGCTGAAATTTAAGCAAAAGTGATTAGAACCGTATAGGGATTTTTCTTTATCTGTGCTTGTAAACCTTGTATGTCTCCTTAAACTCTTCCAGATTAAAGGGGTTATGAAAACAGAACGTTGGACTGAATCCAAGGTTTAGGTGGATCCAGGCTAATCTGGCTATTCAGTTGTTGTCGCCGGACAACAGTGTTAATTTAAAAGGCTTAGTTCAGAGTACGAACACAAACAAGTGATGCTTTACTTGGTCAAATTTTGAGGGAAGGGGAAGTAAGGAATAACTGTATCCTTTTGATCTTTGCAATTATTTTGATATGATTTTAATGCTTAGGAAGCGTTTTTGATGTAACTTGGTAAGAATGCCACAGTTTCATATGCTTGGCATGCCTCCTTAAATGCTTAAACACAGTAGAATGTCAAGTATGCAAACTTCGTAGCATCTTGCTGTTTACTGGCTTGGTGCTTTATGCATGTATACATTAAAAAAAAGACTTAAGCATAACTTTCAATAGGTATCTCTTAGCTGCCAGTTGTGAAGCTTTTGGGTGTGGTGGGGTTTTTTTTACCCCTTTCAAACACAACAATGGTTTTAGATTAAAAAATTACTAGGGGGAATAGATAAGCAGAAACTCCAGATGATTAAAAATATTTACCTCTGTAGAACAGTGACACAGATGTGTATTTCCACCTTTTAATAATTTAATGAGAAGGCTGCGTGCTATGGCTCTTCTTTTGCTAAATCTGTTTTATTGTTCTTGATACTTCCACAAAGGACTTGGTGATTGTACATGTACCTTAGTGATTGCGTTCTACAGCTACAGGAAGTTTGTCAGTAGCTGCATGCTGCTGGGTGTAAAGAATGTCCAAGACAGCTGACAAGTAGAGGAACAGGCTGCTCTAGAAGAGTATGTTGGATAAATTGCTCTGAGCTGTCCTCTTCCTAATTCCTAATTTGTTTCTTGGTATCAAAGTAAATGACATTGGTAATCCAGGTTGCTCCTGCTCAAAACACCTGCTCTGTTACCTTTACATTTTACAAGGAACTACAGGCTATGTCGGTTGCCTAGTTAGGAAAAAGGAAAATGCAGCCACTGAACCAGCAAAGGTGCTAATGTGGAGTGGTCTTCTGCCCCTGTCAGAACAAACTAGCTGCAATTGCTCCCACTGGAAAGATGGCTGTTGTGAGTGTCTGGAGGAGTTGTCTTTGGCCATAGGAGCAGCTGCACTATAGATTAGTTACCCCAATACAGAACTCTTCAGCTCTTGGGTCTTAAAATGTTTAAGGTGATGATGCATTAAAACTGCAGAAATGGACAGCGGAACACGATGGAGACAAAAGCATAACCTGGAACAGCTTCTAAGCTTGCACTCAAAGCAGAATATATAATCCATGACTGTTGGCAAGGTTTCTGAAGCATTAACCATTTTTATTTGCAGTTTCTTTATGTCCGAATATTTTTAATGCTTTTATATCAAGTTCTAATTATTAAGAGTAATTTCAAGTTACTCTAACTGAATGGTTTAGTATCACAGAACTTGAGCTTTGAAGTGTAGAGCTATTCTTTACTTGTATACTTTTTAAAGTACTCTGGTAGCTCTTTGGTTGGTGCTCTCCTTTGAGGAAGAAGAGACAGCTGCACTACTTTTTCTCTGCATGTTGTATGCGATTATGATCTTTGAAAAGGACTTGTTCTTTCTTAAACATACAGAAAAAAAAGCCATAATGCTCTTAGGCTATCTATGAAACTCTAGGTAGGAATGTTTTTAAACTGGCATTAGAGGACAAAGCATGCTACTCAAAATGTTTAGACTGGGAGCATAGGCAGAGACTGGTCTGTTAGTCTTAAATACTATTTAATTCTTGCATGGGAAATCTGCTAGTTAGAAATGTTCAGCCTTTGAGATGTCTTATTTCTGTTAATTTTTGTAGCGTTATGTGGATGGAGGAATCAGTGACAACTTACCTCACTATGAATCTAAGAACACCATCACAGTTTCACCTTTTGCTGGGGAGTGTGATATCTGCCCAAAGGGCAACTCTGCCAACTTTCATGAAATGAATTTGACCAACACCAGCATTCAGCTCAGTTTGGGGAACCTTTATCGTCTAACACAAGCACTCTTTCCACCAGAACCTAAGGTAAGTCACTGCCTTTGAGTAGTTACTAGAACAGCTTTCCATATAAAGGCCTTACTTTTGCAGAAAGCTACAGTCATATTAGCATTTCATCTAGTCATGTAAACTTTTCTGATGATGTTTCTTGTTTCTATTTTTATCATAGTTTGTCTTCATTCCTATTTTAATCTCGCTCAGACTAAAAATGCATGTCCTGCTATTGGCTTTCAGTACTTATTTGGGAATTAGCACAGGATTCTATCATACAATTAACACCGGTAAATTAATAACTGTCAGTTTGTAGTCCTTTGTTTACCTGCTAACCAGGTGCTTCTGAACTTAGCAGAAGTTTTAAAGCTTCACGGTTTTGTAAAGTTCTCAATTTATACTTCACACAGGCAAGTTGCCTTTAAACTTTGCTAAGTGGTGTTAATTGCAGATCTGATGAGGGAAATGTTCTTAAATTGCTTTTGTAGAAGCTGAAAAAAGGAAAACAGACTATGCCAGTTTGCTTGGGTTATGCAGCAGAGGAGAAGTAATATTTCTGACTGCGATAGATAGATATATTTTTAAAGTTGAGGGCTTTTTGACCACTTGAAGAAAAATGTTAAATTCTACTTATGTAGGATTTACTTCATATTTTAGTCTAGGACTACTGTGTAGGTGAGTTGGTGTTGCACCTGGTGAAAGATGCTTCCATATGGAAGACTAAGTCTGATTTTGAGCATGAGACTTGCACAGCTGACTTTTCATAGTTTTGGGAAGTGGGAAGCACTGTGAGGGGAGGAGGGGAATTGGCATACTCCATGCCACCCTGTTTCATTGTTGCTTACATCTGCTGAAAGGCTAGTCAAAGAAACAAAAAGGGAAGAAATTTTTGTGAACTGTTAGGGTGCTGTCCTTTTAGGTGGATAATTCAATGCATCTGTAATAGCTGAAAGATAGGCTCATGCATGCATCATCACAGTAGGCATATTAGCCTGAATCTGTTGAATTATAGCAATTGTTAATGTAATATTTATCTTAAAAGAATGGAGATCGAGGGTGGATGGAAGTGTCTTTTCATTCTCCAAACTTGATCTTAAATTGAATCTGCTTTTATTTGTCTGACTCATTTACCCTATTCTTGCAGGTACTAGGAGAGATCTGCGAGCAAGGTTATTCAGATGCTCTTAAATTCTTGAGAGAGAATGGTATGTTAACACTTGTGGATAATTATTGATGATGTGGTCTTAACAGTTTATAAAAAAAGAAATGGTGAAGGGGTTGTAAGTGGCCAAGAGCAGGGTCTTTGAGGTTTTTTAAAGGGATCATAGTAGATTTAGTTCTCCTAGAAATTACATAGTTGTAGTAACTATTCACCCAAGTTAATTTCTATGTGGCAGCATACCTTGAACTTTTGGGCTTTTATTAAATTTGTGTAGTGAATGTTAAGGTATAGTTAAATGAAATTATGAAAGAATTCAAATTCTAGGGAAATCATTTTACTAGATTTTTGTGTTAATCATGAAGAGTAGGAATAGGCTATTGTTTCCCACACCTGTGAAACCTGTATCTTATCACCTCCTCTCTGCTATCATCCCAATGAATTTCTAAATAACGCCTTATAATAAATCCAGAGCTGAGAGCTGGCTAACAACAATATAAACTTTGTCACAGACAAATCCTTAATCTATACCATGAATGACTTTAGAAGATGACTTGTAATGTAGCAGTTGTTGGGACCCAGATGAGTTTAGGAAGGAGAATTGAGTTGCTCTGCTCCTAGAATTTGAGTAACATATTCCATTCTAATAAATGTTACTGCTCTGCACACTGAGACAAGCAAGTTAAAGACAGTAACTAGATATTAGCATGAAGTTAACCATGTGTTAAATGTGCCTAGCCTCTGTAGTCTTTGGATGCAGAAGAAAATTGATACTGGGTTGGGTTAGAGAAACGGAAACTGAAATGTCATGTTTGCACTACTACAGATAGTATCAGTTGCAGTATTGTAACTCAGTCACAGATTGATGTACTCACTGCTTATACTCTGTTATAACTAAACATTAAATATTCGGGTTTTTTTGGAATATTTTTCTTCGCTGCTAAAAACCGTCACAATTCTGCTTAAGCGTTTGATTTTTCTAGTAATATTAAATATTTAATGAGAGAGTCCTGCTTTATACCTTTTATCAGGTGATTAAAAGCATAAGCTGTACAAAAAACCCTATAATTTGTGGTTGACTGTGTTAAGATGTGTTCCATTGCTGTCCTGCACCTACAAGTTTCCTGTGTGCATGTTTCCATCTGACACTAATGTCTGAGATTCCTTGCCGCTCTTCTTTGGAACCTTTCCTTCACATTCTCTGTGTATTGCACTATTGTCCTCCTTTTCACACTAATGATCCTGTGATCACCTTTTTTTATTCTGTCACAGGTTTGTCTTGCTTCAAGCTTAATCAATGATAATTACAACCTTTCCAAACTCGTTAATTATACACCTCATTTTTTGTTCAGTTTTTTCAGCTGTAGGAGTTAATTTTTTTTCCCCCATCTGTAACACTTCTGATAACTATTGCTAAATTGACTGTATATTCTTTTGACATTTGTCTTTTTAGGAGTAAGTAGGATACAGATTCTGTTGCATGTAGATACGGGTTCTAGTCAAATTTGGTGGTCTATATGTGTAAATAACTTTATAATGATTTTCTGGAAACTGAGTATAAATACACTGGTATTTTTTTGCTTTGTGCTCATCATCTAGTGCTTGTTTCTAAAGTAATTATCAGTGCTATTAATTGGCACCAGTTTTGCAAGGCAACCAATGTTGATTTAGATCTGTACTTTGGATATATCTTAAAACAATATTGTACCCTACTTGCTTTCCTTTTCCACCCTGTTGTAGCAAGGCCTCAAAGTAGACATGTGATACCTGACATGTCAGATTTCCCAAATGTCTGATGTGCTTTAGGTGTGTTCTTTCAAATAACTACTAAATCAGTTTTCTTCCTCTCGTTTAAATCATTTGCTTTCTTGCTGGGAAACAGCTTAGCTTTGGTAAATGACTGTATGTTTCCAGTGCAGTTTCAGTTAATTGTTCACTTTTTCCTTTTCTTTAGAACATCTTTTAATGTTAGACCTAAGCCTGCAAAAGAGTATTTGTCAGAGTGATTAAATGCTTGTGGATAAGAGCAAGTGTATTTGATGTTGGGTAGATAATGTTTCCTTAGGCCTTTGTACAGACACACAAACTACAGGTGCTTTGAAGACCTGTGAATTGAGTCTAAGTGGAAGCTCTTCATTCTTTCAGGTATTCTGAATGACTCAATTTATATCCAGTTGTCCTTCACAAAAAGAAATCTTAATGAGGGTGCACAACACATTGACAATAGGAAGAAAAAAAAATTGACAGAAGATTGCAGACCAGAAACTTTGAAAATGGAAGTACTTAATGACCAGCTGAAGCAAAACCCCTGGCCTTTGGAGAAGAGCATATTTGAGAGTCTACCTCCTAGACTTCGTAAAGGTACGTGCTTCAGGCTGTTTTCTGTAACTTTGTCAAACTTTGACTTTTTTTTTCCCCCTCTGCTTACTCTTATAATTTGCATAAGATGCTTTTTAATCTTGTAACCGCCTGTGATATTAGAGACTAGCTCAGCCCCCAAAAAGTTCTTTAAATACTTCAGTGTGAACATGTACATTTTGATTTAGCTATGGAAATAAGATTGAAGCAGGAGGAAGGCACTGCTTTCAACTGTGCAGAGTCGTGAACTGAATTCTCATTTAGTTTTGGATAAACTTAAGTGCACAGTATTTTTGTAAGCATATATCACACCAAAGTTGAACTTCCAGTCCAAACACTGGTTATCCCTATCTTATTTTTAAAACAGGCTTCTGTAGATATCTTATTCTCTGGCTTTCCTGTCTTCTTAATAAGCTGTTAATTGACCAAAACCACTTCTAATATTTCTTTAATCTACAAGCTTTACCTAGGGTATTTCTGTGGATGCTGATCAGTGTTTTCAGCATCTAAAATCTGTGATCCCAGTGACCCAGGAGAATAAAATTTGAAGTGTACTACTTACAGCTATATGTAGCAACTGGAATATGTGGAACTTTTAAATTTAAACAAACTCCTTAGAGTCATACAGTTTCTAACAAGACAGGAATGCTGTCTAAAATACATAAGTATTTTTGGAGAGGTGAACTTTACATCCTCTTACTGCAAATTAATTCTTAGACTTATTGCATAAAAGTTCTAGGTAATGCCTTTTGTCTCTGTGGTATGAGTGTGTTTCCCATATTTTAACAGAGAGAAGGTCTATGGTAAGAGCATCTTGATGTTAATTCTTTAATTTTCAATCTGAGCCTTCTTCAGTAACACTTGGTAATCTTCACTCAACGTTATAAAATTTTAAGCAAGTGATTTAGACTGTTTTCAAATCATCTAACATATTTTTCAAAAAATAATTTTTCTTAAGCACTGCAGGAAGCTTGTAAAGAACAGAATGGATTCTATGCTCAGTTCTCTAAACTCTTCCCAATGCGGGTGATATCATATCTGATGCTACCATATACGCTACCAGTAGAGTCTGCTTACTCTGTTGCTTTACGGTAAGAAACTTCAAATGAACCATTTTAGAATTATTTTACTTTTGGAAGTTTACTCACTGAGAGCTTTTTCAGTGTTGTAGGCATTCTGGTACTCTACAATTCAAGTGGTAACTGTCCAAAGACCATTATTCCTGCCTACATAATGCATCCTCCTAAAGCCTCTTAGTCTAAGGCTAGATAAACATATTAAGAAGATTCCTAAACAATTTATTCTTATTACTATTAGATGTCTTGTAATTGCTCAAAAGAAGCACCCTTAACTGCGTTTTTGAGGAGCACATTCTTTATTACTATATTTTGCAGTGGTATTTGAACTCTATCCAGATGTTTCTTGTGATTTTAGCTTCTTTCTGAAGTCAGGAGTGAAATCCAGTGTTTGCTCACTATATAAATTTTCTCACCAGGTTTGTTTAGGTTGACTGAAAGTTGTGGTCTTGAAATAGGACTTCATTTTACAAGTTTTTCAGTTCTTGTAAAGGAACAATTATGTTAAATGAACATACCATGAACCCTAAGCTTTGTGTTTGCTTAGGAGAATTCCAGGCCTTGAGCAGCAGATGTCATTGCTATCATTAGAAAAGAATTGAAAAATCAAATGTTTTGTAAATGGAACCACACAGAACTCCAGCAAAATAATTTCTTTGCCACTTAATGTGGTCCTTATGTGTCATTTTTTGGGAGGAAGCAAGTTTCAACAGAATATCTATGTGGGTTTTTCCCCTTCATCCCCTTCCAGTGTAACAGGAAAAAAAAAAATACATTTGTGACACTGTTCAGTTTCTGCTTTGTATTTGTTCTTCCATTGTGCTTTTCTTTTGTTCTTTCTTCTTCCTCCACCTAACTTTAAACTGACCATAAAGTTCTCGTAGATAGGAGAATTTTTCAGGCTTCCTAAATGTTGGTCATAGGGTGTGGAATGCACATACTGGTCAGCCACTCAGCATAGATCAGAGGTACAGTTGTCTGTGTTGCCTTTTTTTCGTAGCTTGTGAAAGAGATGAGTGGGCTAGATGGGAAGTCAGGGAGGTTGGGAAGAACTGGAGACCTTGGTGGGGGAGTTAACACAGCTTTCATTCTCCCCAAGTTATTTTATTGGGTGTTGGGCATGGTATGCAAAAATATAATGCAGATCACATCTACTGCTTACAAAACAATTGTATTTTGGTTTTGATTTTAGGTTAGTAAACTGGTTTCCTGACATGCCTGCTGATGTTCGATGGATGCAAGAACAGCTTTGTCGGATTGCTGGTACAGTTTATTCGCAGGCTAAAAGCAAGCTATTCTGTACATCCAGGTAAAGTGGAGTGCTATTGCATGTAAATGATGCATTTTTAAAAATTCTTTCTTTTGTCAGAGCTTCAAGTACTAGTAAGTTTCTCTCTTAAAAGACGATGTAATAACTTTCTCAAAGGTAATGCAAAACCCTTCTCACTGCTTCTAATCCTTAGCATTGTTTATTAAGTATATTTTCTGGTGCTGCTTCTTTATAGTTGATCCATGATTGATACATATTGTGGGTGAAGAGGTGTTGCTTCTTGGTAGGCTTATACTTTTTGGGGAAAGGGGTGAGTTATGGAGCAGGCATTGGACTGAAAACAGACTTCTTCTCTGCTCCACAGTAGCTGGAGTAACAGGAAGAAAAGAGGAGGAAATGGTTCCTTAAGGTGTTCTAAGTCAGATGTAGCAGGTAGGAAGTGGAAAGCATTGGGAGAAGGACTAGATTCTTAAGAGTCTGAACAGGAAGGGGTGTAAGAGGTAAAAAGCTGATGAAGTACAGTCTTGTAAGATAGTCGGGAAGAATTAAAATCAGACACATAAGGAAAATTTTTAGGAACACCTATTCCTATAAGAGGAACCTCTAATCAGGTTCATTAGGCTGCTTTGTCAAGCTGGTGTGAGATTTAGCCTTTCAGACTTTTAGATTCTGTTAAACTTTGTAGCACTGTGTATGGAGGAATCTGTGACAACTCACCTTGGTATGAGCCTAAGCATACCACTACTGTTTCACTTTTTGCTGGGGAGCGTAGAATTTTCCCAAGAAGCTCTCCAGACTTTCACAAAATTAATATGACCAATATTCAGCTTAGATTTTCCTGCTAAAAAAATGGACTGGTTGCTGGAACAGAGTTGCACAGTCGTGTCAGAGTAGTGCTATAAAGTAGAGAGACCTAGGCGCTCTCTGAGGTCTAAATTCTTATGAAGTCTCCTAAGATTCAGTCTGGAAAAGTATAAATCCAGATCTCAGCAGAGTAGGTCAATCTATTTTACTGTAATTTTTGATTGCTTCAACTCCTGAAATTCCTGGTTAGGAGGTAGAAGAGAGGAGAGATAAAATAGCCTGAAAAGCTATTAAGAGTGAACAGAATTCTTAAACGCTTCATAAAAGCTTCCAAGAAATAGCTGTAGCACTGGAAAATTCTAACTGTAGCAGTTAGTTTAATTAAAGCATTGCCATGTTCTATATACAGTACATTTTTAAATTAAAACAAAAAATACCCTTTTATTCAACCAAAGAGTTCTTTAGCTTTTGTCTGCCTGTTTTTAGTGATAATGTTAGATAAGGAGAAAGATCAAAGCTGCTCTTTTTTGCCCTGGCAGTGCTATACACTGAGCCATCAAAAATGCAGGTTTGATATGTCTGAGAACTGCTTCATCCTACTTCCTTATAAGAAGCTTTGCCAGGTTCTGCATCAGCATCATGAAAGATCAGATCCATACGTTCCAGGTCTTAGAAGTAGAGAGTAGCCGAATTTACTGTTAAAGGTTCTGGCTTAATGGGAGACAATGAAGTTGAAGCTTGGGTTTCTTTCTCCCTTTGGAAGTATTAAATGGTGGCTTTAATATGAGGTTGTAAAGATACTTTCCTTTTACAATATTCAGTTTTATCTAGAATTCAGAAGCATTTAATTCCTATATACAAATAGTTTCTCTTCTCCCCTTGTGAAATCAGTTAAAGCCTTTTCTTGTATAACAATAGTTGGCTTTTCAGGCCATCAGAACAGAAATGTAGTTCTTGCTATATATTTGCTAGCATCCTGCTGTCATTTCTTCAGTTATTCGATGCCATGTATAATCCAGTATTCTTTTTTCCTTCTTAATGATATGTCTGACTTTCCACAATAAATTGGGGCATTGTCATCTTCCTGCTTTTAGCCTTATTTAGCAGCTTCTTGGTGTTGCTCATATTCCAGCCTTGCCAATCATGAGAGTCTTCATCTGAAATGGTCATTTGGAAGGCACAGTATCACAAGACTCTCTCAGATTTGACTCCTCAGACAGGTTATTTGGTCATTGAGTCATTAACCAGAAACATTATTTTGCTTCTCAAGGAAAGAGCAAGCTCTTGGCCATAAAACAGAACATGGTGGTCATGTGGATCTTCCTGTATGCTCTTATAATAACTTCAAGGTATCAGCTCTCACTGAACTGCTTACACTGTCAAACTTACAAGTTCTCTGAAGCTTTCCTTTAAGTGGATTCCCTCTTCAGGTAGCTAGGTCCTAAGGCTCTGTGTGTAAAATTCTGCATTGTATTCTACAGGTGGCTGTGGGCCTGTACTTTGTTTCAGCATCCATTAATAACTTACTGATGCTTTTACAGAAAGTTATTGCCCCCATCTTTTTTTTACACTATTCCCCTGTTGTGGTTTGAGCCTGGTTGGCAGCCCAACACCATGCAGCCGCTCATTTCTCCCTTCTCTTCCAGTGATGAGAAGGGACAAATGAGCCAGGCTTGGGATTCGAGACAGGACTGGGAGGGGAAGATCACCCATTGTGGTCATGGGCAAAAGGCAGACTCGTTAGGGGAAGAAAAAATTAACAATACATTTTACGGACCCTAACAACAACACTTAACAGAGTAGGACAGTGAGAAGCATTGCCACATCTTGAACACCTTCCCCCCACCCCTCCCTTCTTCCCGGGCTCAGCTCTGCTCCCGATATCTCTACCTCCTCCCCCAGCGGCGCAGGGGCAGGGAATGGGGGGGTGCAGTCTGTGCTGCTGCTTCTTCCATCTTCAGTGGGGGGAGTTTCTGGAACTTGTTCCCCCTGCTCCATCGTGGCCCACCTCTCACAGCAGACAGTCCTCCACAAACTTTCTCCGACATGAATTCCTCCCATGGGCCGCAGCGTTCCCCACACTGCTCCATCATGGGTCACCAACTTTCTCCGACTGGAGTCCCTCCCACGGCTGCAGCCCTTCCCAGGCTGCTCCGGCGTGGGACACCCCCGCATGCTGCAATCCTCCCAGCACTGAATTACAGTAGCGGGGCTGCCTTTTCCCACAAGACCCCAGCCTTCTTCAGGCACAGAACCATGATCATCCCGGCAAATCACAGGCCACAAATCAATGTCTGTTCCACCGCAGATCTCCATGGCTGGCAGGGTGAGCCGCCCTGCCGTCTCACCACAGGATACAGGGGGGTCTCTGCTCCGGCACACCTCCCCCCTCCTTTCTTCCTCCGTTCCTCCACTGACCTTGGTGTTCACGCAGCTGCTACAACTCCTCCTCACAAGTCCAACTCCTCACCACATCCTTTCTTAAATACGTTATTGTAGAGGCACAGCTGATGGGCTCAATTTCCCAAACAGAAGTAGAGCTGACGTGGAGCTGGGGGAGCTTCGAGAAGCTTCTCACAGGGGGCTGCCCCTATAGACCCCTCCCCTGCCACCAAAAAACTCCACCACTCACTCAAACCCAGGACATCCCCTTATGCCATCAGATCTAGCTTCTGGTTTGGAATCAAACTTAAATATCATGAAAATTAGTGCTGTTTACAGTTTGAAAATCCTTTTAGGAAACTTAACCTGGTGGATGGTATCTTCTAGTGCACCTAAACTTCAGGTTTGGAAACTGGTGTTGAAGTGTGTATGGCAAGTTGGGTTTTTTCTGTGTGAGAGGGGGTGTTGTAGGTTGTTCTGTGTGTGGTGTTTTTTTTGTTTGTTTTTGTTTTTTTTTTTTTTGTTTTTTTTCCCCAAAAGCACTGCAAGAAAGGATAACCTTTAAAGAAAAAACTGGGTTTTCTTGGTGGGAACTTCAGTTTCCTCTCAGATTGAAAAAGACTAACCTGGTGATTCGGGTGCTGTTTTAGAGTGTAGGAAAGTTCTGTTTCAGCTGTTCAGTTGGTGAAAATTAGCTGGTTGTAAAGTGGAATGCGGAGATAGCATCTGGAAACTTGCTACTCAACTTGTAAATGTTGAGATTATTCTTGTTAATGTTCAGTTAGTGCTATGATTGGTAAATCAGCAAATATTCCAAGCAGATAGCTGGGAGAACAGGACTATTGAAGAGGTAGTGTACAAACTTGGGTCTGCCCTTCTGAGCTCATCAGAACAGTGTGACTTTTAGTGTAAAACTATTTCATACCTACTTCTGAGGACAACACAAAATGGCAGAGCAACCCTCTTTTAGATATGATTGTTTCAAGATCCTTTTCCTGTTGTCCCATATCCTAACACACTAAATGCATTTAAAATTACGTATTGTCCTTTAATGTTTTTCCTTATATGAAGATTTCCTGTCAGACATCTGAACAGTAATAGAAATGTAATTGAAACACTAATAATCTTTTCTTTTTTTTTTTTTTTTAAACAGGAAAGACAACTATGCATCACTAAGAAAATGTCAAACTGTCCCATCTACTATGGAATTTCTTTCTTCATACTGCCGCCTTAAAATGCCTCACTCTTCTGCAGACCTTGAAACCTGGCTCTGGGAATCTTCATGCTTCATGCACTCAGCTATGAAAAATGATTCTGCTAACATGCAGGAGCATTCAGACTTAAACTCCTATCCTAATTTTCTCCCAAATTCTGATGAGTCTGGGTTAGAAATAGATTTTGACTCTTCCTCAGAGACAAGCTTCCAAACTGCTCCAGAGTATTAATTTGGAAGTAGATCCCACAGTTTCCAAAATTCCAATTTGGCAGAGAAATTTCAATCTTAAAGGACTAAAGACCACTTTCTTTATTGCCAATAAGTCTTGGGAAATTATTTGTTTACAGCTTCCTGACAAATCTGCCTTGGGAATTCCACTGTTTTAAGGATTATAAAAACAGTAGCTGCTATACTAAGTAACAGACTACAATTTTGTCAAAGCACCAGCTCAATTAACTGTAGTAAGATTTGTAATAAACATTGTCTCTCTGGAAATAAATAAAAAAAAAATCTTTCAGCATAAAAATGTAAATTCTCTAAACAGATTGTTAGACAAACAAGCATTGATAACAAAGCTTTTTTAAAATACAATTCTTAATATTATGTGGTAGGATTCCTTTTATAGCACTTAAATGAAATTAGACTTTTATTTCATAAAGGGAAATATACAAATGAGCTTTTTAGTGGCCTCCGGTGTCCATTTGCCTTATGTTTAGTAAACACTGTTGTGTTTATGGAAAAGTAGTCTGCTTAAGATACTGTAGGAACAGTAGTATTCTAGGTTGTTGTATGTATTCCACAGTTCACATTGCTTCTCCTCTATGGTTCTTTCACTGTGCAAATACTTGAAGGGAAAAAGACATAAGAAATGGGACAGGTTCCCCTGAAGTGTAAACAGGTACAGTTTCAGTAATTTCAGAGGACTTTTTCTGTGATTAATAAGGGCTTAATACTCAACAAAGTGGGTCAAATAGTGACTGTAATTAGAAGCAAACAGTAATTTGAGAAGGTGTTAAACTTTACAGAAGACACTAACAAAAATCAGTGTATAGCAAGTGGTGAATGATGTTTAGGTTTTCTCTGTGATTGCTGCCCAATCATTCTCAATCACCTTTTTCCCTCTAACTTGAGAGATTTTTCTTCTCTTCTTTCACTTCCCTCTTGCTAAAGGAGGGAAGATAAAAGGGATCCCTCCTTTCTCAGTGAGGTATGATAACCCAAAGGAACTTGACCAATTGCTAAAAGAATCAAACATGTAAGACTCAGTGGGAGTATCAGTATTTAGGGAGCTCTGTGAAAGTCTCAAATAATGGGTTGAAAGTCAGCCAAATTGTATCTGTATTGAGTGATGGGCACTTTAAACACTTTCCACTACAGAGATTCTGCATAATTTTAATGAAGACAATGCATTAGTGTATGAATACATCAGGAGAAGTAACTAACTTTTAAGGTTAACTACTCTTTTGATGTTTTGTTCTGATGTCTTGTACAATTTTTTTAAAAATAGGAAACAGTGATGGCTTTGAAGCTGAGTTTGCGCATGTGTTTGAGGGCAGATGTGTGACATGTGAAAGCTGCTCATTCAAAAATATAAATTCTCTGTAACTCCGGTGCAGCCCAGGGCAGACACTATAGATGCTTACTGGGAGTATCTTGTACAACGAGCAGCAGTGATTAGGTTGTGATGCTCAGAAGAAAGAACTCTGGAGTGTGAACTTCAGTATTCAGAAGTCTGTCAAATAGCAAAATGTAGCATTTTGAATTGGAACAGCTTTTAGGCAGTTTCTCAGTTGCGATTTCCCTAAGCTTGAAATGCTAAATTTTACAATGTTAAAATTGATTTTTAGAATGGTGGGGGACAGGGGAGAAAGTGTCAGGCTATCCGTTTCTGTACCACAGAAGACTGGTGCTATTTTACGTCAGCTCTTTTGTTAATTTCTTCTGTGTATGTATCTTCAAATTTGCAAGAAGAATTGGAAATGTTACTCTAACTACAATTAAAAGATATGAGGTCTGGTTTACATTGTCTGTCTTCTATAGCTTTAAACTTTCTATAATTTAATTTTATAATGTTCTGCAAGAAGTTAGTTTTACCAGTACATCTTAAACTTCAAGCAGGAATGCCAAGTTTTGCTTCCTTACTGTGTACTGGAATAGTTCTATTAACTACATTTAAATCAACCTTAACCACTTCTGTTGTGCACAGCTGATTTTTGTCTCCCTTTTTCTAAAAGAAGACAATCTCTTCTGTTACTGTGTTTTCTAAGCTTTCTTGGGGGTAATATACCTAGTGTAAGTTAAATCAGAATGTGTTAATTTCATTGACTATTAAAGCTTTAATGGTTGTGAGGTGTCTTTTTAAGAGTATTAATTAGTATGGAGTTTGACAGATGCTTGTTCATGCTCCAGAGGGACCTGAACATCACCATAATTTAAACTATAACTTCTTTGCAATCTGTTAGTTTACAAATAACTTTCTGTATTTAAACAGAAACAATTCAGAACCGGAGGAAGGTGTTACTTGGGTCTGGAGGAAGAAAACAAACATCGTCTCCTTTCCGAGTTAAAACTTGCCGCTTTAGTGCACTACAGGTGCTAAATGACTGTTTAAAGTCATGTAAAACAGAAGCTCTGATGTCGGTTTAAGTCCAGGGTGTCCAGTGACCTCTTGCCCCTGTCCCCACTGCGCTGTCAATTCGGGTCTTGTTGCCTGTCACCCTTAGATGGGAGGTGCTTAGTTTTCATCTCCCCCCCCTCCAACAAGCTCCTCTCAGGGGCCACGCGTGAAAACCGGTTGTGTGGTGCGTGTTGTGTGTTCTTAAGTAGACTGTAATTTCTTCCCCCTCCTCCTCCCGCCCCACCATCCCCTTCCCTTCTTCCGGGTTGCGCCCTCGCACCTCCCGGAAGGACGCTTTCCCCCGCCTCTTCCCACGCCTTCGGCCAATGGGAGCCGGGGCGGGGCTGCCTGTCATGGCCGCCCCCACGGTGCGGCCTTAAACACCCGCAGCCCTCCAGCCGCCGCCGCCTCCCCTTCCCGCTATGGGCACCGTACACGCACGGGTAAGCGCCGCGGGGGCAGCGAGGAGGCCACCCCCACCTCCCCGGAGGGCGGGCCAGCGAGCGCGGCCGGCGCTCGCCCCCGCCCCGGGCCTGGCCCGAAGGTCGCCGAGGCGACCTTCGGGCCAGGCCCGGGGCGGGGGCGAGCGCCGGCCGCGCTCCACCAGCGGGTAGAGGTGCGGCTAATCCGGGACTGGGACCGGGATCTAGATACGGCCGCCTTGCCTGAGGGGGCTTCGGCGCGGTAGTCGCTGTCCTGCCCTCGGGTGTGCGCGGGGCTCGGGTGGGGACAGGCGGCGGGGTGGGATGGGGCCCGGACCGGTGCTCTCCCTCCCTCCCCGGCGGCGTTCGGGTTGACCTTGCGATGAGGGGCTGGCAAAAGGCAGACTGCATAAAGAGAAGCAAAACAAAAGGCGAAAAAAACCCAACCAAATCACGGAGCGAAGAGAAACTGCCCTGCAGCTGTAGCTCGAGTGGTGCGAGGGGGAGGTTGTAGGTTTGTGTGTTTCCCCAGCAAACAGCAGCATCGCTTGCAGAGATCGGTTGTGTCTCACAGGCCTGAAGCGCTTGGAAACCTTCGTGAAAAGACGCATACATTTCCAAATCTGCATACCGTTGTTTAAAGAAGGAATGTAAAGGTATAAGCCTTGGTTGTGGTAGGACGAGAAGTATTGGTTATAACATCAACAGGAAAAAGTGTGCCTTAACCATCAGAAAATAATTTCAAATACAAATGCGTAGGCTCTGAAATACTTAAGGAAGGCAATGAATTCTCCATGTCTCAAGGCTTCATTAGAGAAGCATCTCTCAGGATGTTCTAGGTAAGCAGTCCACTCTTGAGCAGTCTGCTTTATGGACGTATAAGAGTGGTGTGAGACAGGCTATGAGAAAGTCAAGCTATAAGAATATCAGTGTAATGTAGAAAAAGTTGGTGATGCGGTTGACCGTAAAGCAAAAGAATCACAAAACAAATGTTAAGTCCATTTGGTAAAACACCTTGTGAATTTGGCTTAAACTACTTTTCCATTAAAGCAGCCCTGGGGAGCTTTCATAGGGGTGTTTAAAACTGTGAGGTAGATAATTCAGATATGATTAATCGGTGACTGACTTATTCGGGAGCTAAGAACGATCTGGATGATTCTTCAAGATCCCAGATAGAGTACCTTTTTTTTCTGTGAGCCTGTTGAAAACCAGCAGGCTTTTACTTAGTGTTTAATTAGACTGAGGAACAGCTGCAGGGGCTGTTAAGGCTCCAGAGTATCTAATTACTATGACTAATTTAATTCCTGTTTCAAATTTTTTTCTTGTATTCTTCGTTTTGTATCCATCTGTAGTATAAACTAATACGCAATATTGTGTGGATGCGGAGTGTTTCATGCTTGCCTGAAAATTTTTGGGAGTGAGAGAGGATTCTGTCTTCATTTAACTTGGTTCTGATATGTAACAGCAGTTTACTATTCCAGCAAAACAGCTATCCTTAAATAATGCAGCAGGTACTGTACTATTGACTTAAGGCTGAAAGTAGATGTACTGAGTTATCCAATCCTGACCTCTGCTTTTGCAGGCAACCCTCTTTTCACTCATGCTTGAATCTGTTATCTTCTGGTAAGTCTTTATTTTAGGACTCTTTCAGTTATAGTAAATAAAGCCAGGCTTTGCTGGAAACGATTTTGATTAAAATGTTCACCTCTGATGGATGGGCCCTGAAGTTCTTGCACATTGCTTGGAAGGTTACTTTGAAAAGAGACATTGCAATATAAAAGCATATAAGTATATGCAGAGCAGAGTAACATGCTGAAAACACCCTTTTTTTTTCAATTGCTCAACATGAACGCTCCTCTCCCTCCCCAAACCCCAGACTAAGTAATGACACCCTGATTTTATAGGGTTTTTTTTTTTTTTTTTTTTTTTTTAAGAAGGTAGAATTCATCTTTAACACAGAAAGCATGCCTTAAAAATAAGGTTGTTTTTGAAAAAGTGCACAGTATTTTTGAGAAATTGGCCAACATGGAAGTTCTTCAGCTTTCACTAAGAATTTCAGCAAGCAGGTAGGTGACAAGTATGCTGGTAATTCCTCTCATTTTAGTTCTTCTCTTCTGCTTTTTTCCCTGTAGGATCTGATGAACACAGGGTCAAGAACCATGGTTTTCTTCCTTTGCAAAGGGCATAAATCACAAATCCACGTACCATATTAAATGCAGTTTTCTTTTGTGCTTTCAGAGCTTGGAGCCTCTTCCAATGGGTGGGCCAGACTTTGGTGCCTTGGGAGAGGAAGCTGAACTGGTTGAAGTTGAACCTGAGACCAAGCAGGAAATTCTCGAAAACAAAGATGTAAGTACCTGAACAACATCCTGACTTTTTTCTTAAGAGAAATGTCTTGGCACCCTTGCTTGCTAGTTTTTCCTAAGGAAACTTTCTAAATTATGGTTTGAGATGTGAAAGAATTAACTTTAGTACTGTGAATTTAATCTGATGTTGTCTAGTTCTGTTCTCTTCTTTCCTTCCACAGGAGTTGTTATTAAAATTCAGCTTCGAGCCAATAGACCTTGTTCCAGATGCTACTTTCCCCTCATAAGAGATTACTGCTTCTGCAACACTGCTTAGGGGCAAGCCAAGTGACTGTCCTTAATCTGCTAGAGTGCAGTATTAGCCAGGTTAGGGTAAAGCGCCACCATGTGAATTATGTCAATAAGGGAAATACTAACTTCAGCAGAGGATGGTAACTTTGTAAATATTTCACACATAAGACCCTGTTAGCCATGCTACAAGGGTGAGATACCATGCATTAACTTAGTTTTTATTAAAATTTTTCTTTCCCTTATGTTATTCATAGTAATCCTCACTAGAATCTTTGTGATAACATTTTGTTTTTATTTAGTTTGTTATGTATATATTCTGATAGGGTTTTACAGTAACACTAGGTTGCTCTTATTCTGCTGGTTTATTGTATGTGAATACATGAAGCATTTGCAGATTATTATTTTTTTTTTGACACCCCTAAAATTATAATGCACTGAAAAGTTTGTAAGAATAAGGGAAATGCAATCGCTATAGTCCATTTGTACCAACTAACCTGGGATGTGTTGTGATTTTTAAGATAAAATTATCTCAGATGATTATGTAACAGGAGATGAATGATTTTAAGAAAATATAAAACCTCATAATGATAGTGATCTTAATAAGCATTTTAAACTACAATGCTCAAGTGGTATTAATAATCTTAATAGTTAGAGTTTAAATATCTATGGCTTGTAGCTTGGTTTGTTTTTCCTTTTAACTCTTTGCTTATTTGTGTCTGATACAAGATATGGCTAACTACGACTAACTACATGTTTTGTCTTACACATCTTAATACCTCAGTGTGATTTTTGCTGTGACTTATTTGTCCATATAACACTTATGACTGAAATCCCAGCAGCTACAGTCTGTTACCGTCTCTTCTGCTACAACCAGTATTAGCTTTGCTATTAGAGTTCTTTTTTCTTTAATTTTCATGTTAAGGGAACAACTTTCCAGAGTTGTAGATAGCTCCAATTTCTGATAATGTAGGTTAGCAGTAACTAGTCTAGGAGTCTCCAGGGTTTCTCACTTGGACAACAATATTTTTTTCTCTGTTGGTGATTTTGATACTCATTATTAGGCACAAATTCAGTATTTGTGTTTAAACATCTGTTCTGTTCAGGTGGTGGTTCAGCATGTGCACTTTGATGGACTTGGAAGGACCAAAGATGACATTATCATGTATGAAATCTCTGATGTTTTCAAGGCTAAAAATCTCATTGATGTAAGTACTCTAGTGAATATCAGACCTACTGTTTCAAAAATCAGATACCATTTTTCTCTCTATTTTTTTCCTGCTTTGTGCTGCTCCCTTCAGACATGGGAGACTTTGTCAAGTTTCGTGATGATTTTTGTGATGAGTGGAAGCCGAACTGAAGTATGAAATACTGGCAAATATTTTATTTTCTGATGTATTCAGCTCAAAGATGTTGTGAGGTGGCAAACAATACCCTTGAGATATTTTTTCAGCTTCACTCTTCCCATTTGAGAATTGCTAAACTGGGTAGGTGACCTTTCAGTTAATTCGCCAGTCTCCACAATGGATCAAAGTGTGAGTTAGGCTGTATGTCCTTGCACTTTTAGGTGGCAATTCCTTCTGGAGTATAGCTGGCAGTTAGACCAGTAAATTGGTCCAAATTTAAACGGATTAGGGTGTTTGGGTTTTTTGCCAAAAGCATGGGTCCTGTAAATAGGTGTATAAGTTTTAACTACTAAAACCTATTTGAGTATTA